ACATTAAAATTTATTGTGCCATGGGCGGCTTGGTGGGGAGGTGGGGGAGCGTTTAATAGGATTAACTAAACGATGTCTTAGAAAATGGCATGGTCGCTCGTTGCTCGATAAAGGAGCACTCTTAGCAGCATTTAGTAGAGGCAGAAGCGGCCCTGAACTGCAGAACATTAGTACCTAAGCGAGGAAATGACGATTCTGAAGAAGCCTTGACTCCAAGTCCTTTTCTAACTGATCAAAAATTGACGACATTGCCAACGATACCTGAAAACGAAAATGCGGAATTTAGACGAAATTACAGGATGCAGTAAGATTTGTTGTATATATTTTGGATCTTCTGGAGCTACGTAGTTATCCTCAAGTACGCAATATCCACAAATTAGCTCCCATTAAGAGAGGAGATGTCATACTTCGCAAGAAAACGAAGAGCTTCGGCATATGAGGAAACGACCCTTGTTGAAAGGGTAATCGAAAGCCGTGATGGAAAATGCAGATCATGCTCACTACGTGTTGATTGCAAAAAAAGTGACTCGACCGTGAAGCTGGTCTTGAGTTCAGATAGGATGGGGCGAATGTTCCGGTCGCTGGATAGACAGTGCTGCTTGTGACGTAAGTCAAGGTTTTCCTACACAGGAAGTTTGATAGAATTCTTGAATCCGGCAACACAAAATTATAAGAATGAAATTTTTGTGTTTAGAACAGTTGCATGCATAATAACGAAAATAAAATGTGTATATAAACGGTAATAGAGGTGCATCTGGATATGATTTCCTTTTATAGAGTATAGTACGCATCCACTTCAAGCAAGCATAGTTGAAGAGATATTTGAAACCGAAGGCCCTGAGAGAAAAATTTGGCCGGCCAAATCTATTGGTTTAAAAACCAAGCAATTTGCAATATAATCTTGGAATTTCTGTAATGCGGAAAACTTCTGCAAATTAGAGCTCTAATGTGTTGAAGACCATACTGTTGAAACTCTGGAGCTCATTTATCTAAATTGTAATTAATTACTTTATTAAAAGCATGAGATCGAGTTTGATATTTCGTCAAACTTTAAAGGACACCATATTCTTTAGTATCATCAAAATTCATCATTTGTTTCAAATTTGGTTAAACTTTAGATGCCGCATATATTTGCAGACCTGTATGTTTCATAATGTATTTTCGTGCCGAATGTATATATTCGATTTTCCTATTTGCATTTATGTGTTATGATACTATGAATCACCCAAATTAAATTCAGCCATTTTAGTTAATGGCTTCTGAGAGATAAGTGTTTTTAAGTATGTGAAGGTAACTTTGGATATTCGTGTGCTTTCTAGTCTCAAAGAAAAACTGATTATGTTTTAGCGAAATACTAAAGCCCTGAAGATTTTACTTTTTGAAAAACGTGTCTTGCGCGATGGAAACCTAGAAAAGTATCCACTAAATTAACTTTAAAACCATAACTACTCAAATTGTATGTCAACACGCGCTAAGTACAAAGATCTTGTATTGTGAGAAAGATGAGAATGTCCTTTGATAATTCGCTTAGCATTATCATGCTTAATAATTGTAATGTTCTGTACTTTACAGTAATATTTTTCTACTACTATGTTTCTTATCTCAAAGAGCACAGGAACGCCGTCCTAACTTTAATTTAGATGGCGAGATACTGGATCTAGTGCGGCTGTATACTTCTTTTGAATATGAAGCAATATATACTTGTTTCGAACTTTATTGCGCAGCCTATAAAAAAAACCTTGTGCTATATGAAGCTAGAGACTTTAGAACTTTGATATTCTAAATCTGACTGGCTTAGAGTATAAACCAAAAGGTCACGTTCAATCAATTCAACAAATGTTGGTGCGGGAGTAGTTTGTGAACTTTTCGCATTTTCTGTTCCAATCGGACATTTTGGAACTGCATTTGAATGATCAGATAGCTGCTATTAAGATAGCTCTACACAGCTTCTGATTAGAAATTTGACTTCAGTTAAGGTTGTGATACAGACTTCTAAAGCAACTACTCAGGCTACTGCTTCTGATGCCGCAGTTACATCTTTATATGAATTACAGTCTAGAATTTATTTGCAACAGCTCAAGAGGAACGAAATCCACTTTACTCTCCAGTGGATTCCAGCCCACTGCTGTGCGAATGATGTTGAACAAACCAATCTTTTAGCTACAAAGGGATCTGTTGCTCCACAGATAATTAAAACTGAGATTTATTTTCAACCGCTAAAGGTATTTCTAAACGGACTTCAGCCTGTAACTGCCATTAATTCTCAATGTGTAGAAATTATACAAAAATTTGGTTGAAGACTTATTCAGGACAATATCCCCGATTTGCCTCATCCTCCTACTATGATAACATTGTGAATAACTTCTGGATATGACTGTTTGGTGGCGCACCTGTTTTTCGCATTGGTAGTTTGTCAAGCCCAACCTGCCCGCTATGCAGCAATGGAATTTTGGATAGGGACCATCTCATGCGGTGCATTGCAATTCGCGTAATATCTGGGGCTGAGTGTTACTTGTTTGCGAGACTGTGCATGCATCAGTGACGTTTGTATTTTTTTGTATATTATCTCATTTATGTATTTTATTATGTTATCTTGTTCTTGTATATTACCTTGCCACTGGAAATAATTTTAAAAAAAGGAAAAGTAGTAATGTTTCTTATGTTCATTTTCTTTGTATGAATTAACAATAAGGTAATGCACTTCTTTCCACACTTCAATCCAGCAATAATGCTAATTCTGATCTCTGAAACAGTGCTCATATTTAATTAGGTGAAACCTGAATGCGATTACATAAAAGATTCAATATTCAGAAATGTGGAAAATAGACTCTAATTGAATACGACACCTTACTGAATGCTTTGGGCAGATGAGTGAAATTGCTTATAAAATTTTTTGAAACAGTTCTGGTTAATCTTTGATTAGAGAATACAAATATGTCTCATCTAAAAAAAATGGATTATTGTTAACGCTGGTGTATTGTCCACCATCTTGATAAAAGAAAATTTATTAAATATGCACTATTTTCTTTGGTATTAACTGCTTAGTTATTCCTCTCCTTCGGAAGCAACTTCCAATGAGTGGGTTAGTTGTCTGGAGAAGTATTCCCGTTCATCCTAGGAATTCCACTTCTAATGATAAGTATAAGACTTTACTAACTAACAGCAAGCGACTGCTTTAGCGCTGAGAGCATTTCACTTAAATCCTATAATAAGTGTAGGAAGATGTAGGGAGAAGAAGGAATGCTAAACCAGCAGAAATATTATTGAACTTCGGCCTTTCAGTGCAGGCTATATAATAAGTAGCCTCATTTTTTTAAAACTATTTCACCGATCTGGTCGTCTATACAGGAAGTAATTGGACTATTCAAATGTACCGGAAGGAAGGCTTTCATTTCATTGCGAGACTATGCTGGAGCAGCTTATCTGGCATTTATTCTTACATAGGAAACTTCCCGTCCACGCGAGGGCAAATCAGGTCCAAGCAGATGAGCGCTTCCCGTCCACGCAGATGAGTGCTCCGACAGTGAAGGAATTCCTCGCATAGAATGGCGATTTCATTCGCCCGACCTTAGCTCTATCAAATATCTTTAGATGCTCTTTTTCGCGCTATCTCTGTTATTATACCCCTCCAACCATTCTCAAAGAGCTGATAATCGCCCAGTTAGATGAACGGCAGTTATTGAGCGCTCTATAAGTGGCTCTTAACCGCTTAATGGCAACGTGTTATGAAGGTTAGAGTTCTCACATCTTTTATAGTTTTTAATCATGGATATATATAATCGAATCTCTAACTTGTAATCTCGAAGTTTCGAGTCAAACAAAGTATAATTTTTCCCGCTATGTCGAATTCACTATTGCTTGCATAACTTTTAGAAAGCTATTTATTTACAAGTAAGCTTTACTTTTGAGTGCGCTTTTCTCTTAAGGCAAAGTTACTTGAAGTATTGTAGAAGAGTTTTCAATGATGAACCAATATCAGATGGTTTGAGAACTTTTGTTGTTGTTACTGTTGTTACCAATCTCATTTGTCTGACAAACGTCAACACAAGCTCCCGACATTCATTGGGGCAAAGAGTCAAATGCGCTTGTCGTTGGCAAGAGCCTTCAGCACCATATAGGTGACATCACAACTTCAACTCAGTTCCTCCTCCAATTTTGAGAGAGAGCACCCCGGGGGGGCACGGATGTGAGGGTGTTTCACCCCTCTTCCTCTACCTCCAACCCTCATGAGGACGTTTGGCTCGCCGCATATTTAGTGTTCCCTCCACGCCGCACGTCCGGGATTCGAACCCGGACCCTTCGGTTACGGCAGTCAGAGTAACTAGCCACTATCTCAGTTGCACGGCTTGAGATCTTTTACGATAATATATTGACTTTTATGTTCTTTTATGTTTTATTTTTCTTGTTTATGGGAAAGTATTTGAAGAGTATACGTTTCGTAGAGTTTCTTTTATAGAAATTTCCGAGTTTCATTGCTTTATAGTCATGTTATATATGGAAAGATGTAATGTAAAACTACTTTTGCAAGAATCAAGCCCCACGGGTGTTATCAGCGCTCTGGGTTTGTACATATAACCATTGCTTTACGCTTATTTAGCTGACGTTGTTATAAATTATGGAAGTTATTTTTAATACATAATTATCTAGTTGCAAAAGTAAACGTTCAACAACAAAATATTTTTATTGTCTGCAGAAAAAATGTTCAACAGCAAAATATTCTTTATTGTCGGCAGAAATTAAACAAAGATTACGCAAATAAATTTTCTGATTATAAACTCTCCTGTAAAATCTTAAAAGAACTTCGTCTGAGAGCATATTTTTGTTCTGCTGGATTTTTTTTCTTATTTCAGTTTTGAAAATATATTATCGTGAAAGCATTTACGAATGAGTAATTTGACTTCAATAATGCTTAAATTTCTGAAGTGACATTTAATTTCTGGAATGAGTATGAAACGTGTTTATTCGTTAACATAAATTAACATAAATTTGAAAACAGAAAACAGGAGAAAATGAGCATTTTAATAAGCTAAAAATAACATTTACATCATGATTTGAGTATTTGCTTTAGGTTTTCAAGATAATACTTTTATTACAGTTAATTTTTTACAGTATCATTTATGTTAAAAAGCCACGTAATTCATCGTTTAGTTTTCCCCAAAGAGTTCCATTCTAGGAGAAGACCTGCTAACTTACAATGGAAGAGATGTAAATCACTTACATTATACATACGAGAAACATAACTCTTACTTTAAAGAATTACAAATGTGAGTACAAAAGCTGATGCAAACTGTTGAAGTATTTTATGACTTCAGTCTTCTTTTATACTGGTTCAGAAATCCAGTATTAAAGCATACAGGAATCATACATATTAAAACATCTGTGATGAAAACGTAAACCATGTAATGAGTTTATACAAAATCAGATTACACTATTCACAAAAGAAAATTCTTAACTTAACCTTTAGTGCATACAACATGCTGACATTACACCGAGAGTAAGGTACAAACTCACATATTATGACCCATAAAAATGGGATATTCTTCAGTTTCATTTCTTGAAATTTACGGGAAAAAATTTAAAACCGCTTATTATATCGCCACATAGAAGCATAACAAAGCCTAAAAGTAAAAACAGGGTTCATTATAAAATTGATTGCATTGTGAAATAAGTATGCTTACACTAAATTCCATTAAAAAAGTAAAAACAAAATTGGAATTCACACAATACATATACTATAAAGTAAAGGAGAGAAGAAAATATGATTTTGTTTTTCAGAATTAGAGCTGGAACTGGCTGTTAACAGTCGTTAAATGCCCAACTAGATTATTCATTTATACAAGCAGCACAGACAGGTCTAATAACACTTCAGTGGCGCTTATCTCAAAAGCATCGTTTTAAGTGCTTTTTATAATGTGAAGACCGGTGCGAGCTATAAAACACTCTATTTACAGAATACATATACTTCCACAGAATTATACATTCTAAAATGAATGCATTAAGAACGTTTCTGTCCATCTTGATCAAATAATGTTGGTCAGCTCAAGGTATTCTTTGTCAGGAAGATAAGCAGGAGTATGAAAGGAAGCGATGTTGACAGACTTGAACTCACAGCTGTAAAATTTATACTTCATGAGAAATGTAGAAAGAATGGCATTCAATGCAAATTCAATACTATAAATAACAAAGTGGCAGAAATATTCTTTTAAATCACATAATATTGAAAATCAGCGTACTGCACTAACATTCAAAGTATAAATCAGTGTAATTAGTAACACAATAATATTACTGCACAGAAATGCGTGTCGTCTGTAGTAGTAATTAACTTGTAAGTTAATGAAAGTGTGAAACTGACTGAAATAATTTATGTTCTTTAATTTCAATTTAATTCAAATTGCCGTGAGTCGCAAAACATTTTGTCCACTCGAAATTGATGAATGGGAAAGCACGTCCTCGCAAGGTAAGATCATGTAAAATATTTTTGAAGTGATAATATAAACATTCATTTTTTCTTGAAATCAAGTATAGGTAAAAGTTATAATTTATCTCGATTAAACTAATTACAAATTGAACTGTCTTTGAAAAACGTAATTATTCTTTGAGGAGAAAGTATATACCGGTTTTATTTCACGAAGAGATAACTTCATCGAATGACGAATTTCTGGTAATTATAAGTATTTCTCTGTTAACTGCCTAAATTAAGCAGAAAATTCGTTTCTGAGCTTAAATTATCTTCACCAAAAGTTTAGAGCAAATTCAGATCAAATCATGATGCTTCTATGCATAATTGCTTCTATGACAATATATAATTGCTTCTGTTGCAATTCTTCTTTATGGTAGAATTAGTTTTTTAAGAAAGAAAGTAATAATTAACATCTATTTGATCTATCAGTAGATGTATGTTTAGTGATATATTCCATACATTATATTTAAAACGGGATACTACACGCGTCGTAACAATCTTCAGGGCGCTGACATAACAGTATAATGTAATAAAATAGTCATGTTTCTGAACTAGACAATGAATAATTTAATAAAGCGGAAAACGCTTTTTAATTACCAAATTCTCATAGTTTAAGAAGAATTAAGTACCTAACTTGTTCATTAATGTGATCCAAACTCTACATGCTCCTATACGAATACACAAATTGAATCAAAATGCTAAAGTATATGATTTAAGTACAAATATGAAAGAAATAAACTTAATGAAATATGTCAAAATTTTATTGACAAAAAACTGAGTTAAAAGAATAAGTTTTATTTGAACTCACTGTTTTTATTTATTTTTATTGTTATTATATCAGCATTTCAGTAGGGTTTTTTTTTTTCATGTCCATAATTATATTTCTAACTGTTCTTTTCTTAGCTGATGATTATTTAGAGTAGAACACTTTAATAATTTTATAAATTGTCGTATAGCATTAAAAGTGCTGTACAGGTTCCTTCATTCATTCTTGATGCCCGTACAACAACCATAATACATTTCACATGTATCAATTGTTGTCGCAGGGTCCGATTTAAGAAACCAGACGACTACGACAAATCTGAGCTCTCCGATATTCCTTACATTACTTCGTATAATCATGATCCCATATACTTATGCTATCAAAAGTAAGTAATAAAATAAACGAAATAAAGCATATAATCGAAGCAATACACGACATCCTAAGATCTGAATATTCTCTAGTGGTATTACTTACTGTGTATTATCCCTCTTCTGGGAATGCCAAAATTTAGCGCTTATTTAATTAATTATTATAAAGACTTCTCAAATCCTGAGTAATAGCTTTATTTTACTCCCAAAATGCTAGGCTAATGAATGTTCTTACTCAGTGCAAATATTATGTGCATATGCATATTTAGTTTCGCTTACAAAATTAAAACTCGGCAGTTGGAATTTTAAAAGATTAATTCTAGATGACTATTTTACAAAAGATCCAAATTTAAAACATCATATTCCTAAATAATTTTTTAAAAGTTTTGCAGAAAACCCAATTTTAAAGCATCATATTCTTAAATAGCATTTTTGCTGTTAAAAACATGTACAGCTCATAACTATTTAATTTTACATTTAAAAAAGCTATTTAATATTTCAATTACTTTAATGGACGCAGTCCAAGGAAACACAAGAAATTTACCTTTTGTATTTGAGGCTTTTTATAAGCAGAAATAAACTTTTTAACAGGAAATTCAGTATTAAATCCTCTTCATTCCTAGTTGACAAAAGCTGAAATCCAATTTTAATTAATTATTTAAATTGTCACAGTTTATTCCCAACGAATAGCTTGCCAAGCCAAAATACATTTAGTGAAAAGAATTCATTTTTCAATAAATTTCATATGAACAAAATGGTTCGTTTCTGAGTATTTAGCTGAAAATAATTTTAATTAATTTGAAGTAACCGAATTAATTTCCTGTGGTGAAACTCTTTTGAAGGAAATTATGATACACGTTTTATCTTACTCTGTACTAGCTAGATTGACAAAATTATGCGGATTTACAGATTGATGAATTTAATTTTATATTTTATTGCCACATTCCTGTTTTTTTTTTTTTTTTTTGTTTTTTGTTTTTTTTTTTTTTTGTTAGTAAACATTCATTGAAAGGAAACTGGGATTAAATTTCCTGATAATGACTTGAAATTGAGTTGAATTATTGCTCCATTATTAAATTAAACTCCTGAAGACTTACTGACGTAAGAACTGAAGTGTATTATTTTTAACTTACCAGTTCCCGCTCGGTCAGATAGATGAAAACTGGAACTTCTGTGATTATCTCCTAGAAGCAAAGTCTCAGCAGACGTCTTTGTAATCATCTTGGAGAGAGTTGCTGTGCATTTTAACTTTATCTCCTCGCCTTTCAGGTGTTCATCTTGGACACGAAATCTCAGACCTAGTTTTGCAGAAGATAACCCGTCTGGATAATGAGTCGGAAGATAAGGGGTTAAAAACTCTGGTCTAACCTACGAAAAGATGACAAGGGTAAAAAAGGACTTGAGGTATTGGGACTAGGACTTTGTATTGAGACTAGGTTCTCAATATCAAGAGTTAGGTAAACCATTTATTAATCACAATACTATTGCAAACATTCGTAATTAACTGTTGAATATATTACAAATTTGGTTGATTGTAATCAAGACAAAACACACTAGTGTTATGTGCCAGGGAAACAGCGCTTTCAGGGATGAATTTCAGATTTTTACTTTTTCTCTGTATATATATACGTATATATTTCACCTTTTTTGAAACAAGTATTGCGAGAAACAGCGTCAGCGTCAAAGAATCGAATCAAAACAGTACTTTTAAATCACACTTCAGGATGGAATATTGACTGCTTTGCCGAGCATTGCTGAAGGTTTCTATTAGGAGCAATGGAAAACTTCCTAATATTGAATTACTGAATTATGGACGATCATTTTCTGTTTTCATTGCTGTCTCTTACTGTCAATTTCTATTGAAACACTGACTACGTAGATGAATTTTGAAACAATATTGCATTACGTGCTCACAGAAATAATAATACAATCAAAATATTCGTATCTTGTGCTGTAAAAGGACCCAAAACTTTGACTGAAACTCTAAGTGCTTTCCGGTTTGTAATTTACTTTAACTAACTGGTTGTGAAGCTTACCTGAAACGAAAGTTTAGCGATTTAACAATTCTAAAAGAATGATTGTAGAGCTAGTTTGACATGTACTTTCTAAAGTTCAGTAGAAGAACAGAAGCTGCTAACTGAACATGAATAATTTTGGTACATGAATAATTTTGAAACATGAATAATTTTGGAACATGAATAATTTTGGATCATGAATAATTTTGGAGCTTACAATGGGAACTAACTATGCTATGAAAACATGCGCTTCGTAAATGTTTGGGTAGTTTTCGAAAATCATGAGGATAGCATTATAAAACATTTGAGACTTTCAAACATAATACCCCTCCTAATAAACTGACACCTTGATTGATTCTTCCGAGGAAGTTATTTCTCTTATTCGCACTTGAATATTTTCTCAGTTTTCTTAATTAATTTTTTTCTACACCAGTACCCTATTGTATTATAAAACGTCATATGTCCTAATTACAAGCAGCTGCATTTTAAAAAATCAAATTTTTCCTCCTAGGCAACATCACGGTTCTTACATTTCCTGCATGGTTTCCCTGCAGCTTTGCTTTTGAATCTGCTTACTACGCACTCTGGCTACTTCATACGAAGTCAACATCAACTGTTATATATCTCGATGATTATTTATTGACTGACTTTTCATACAAGTAATAATCACACGACTTCTAGTAATCAAAAGTGAAGCCGATATCTCTTGCATCAGCTTGATAGCTACTGTGACAAAGTTTTAATTTATATCTAAATACTTCCCCTTAAACATGAATAAATAGCAAGAAGAAAGCATCTCGAGCATGTATATTCATTTTTATACCTATTTATTAGCTGCGTAAATAATGTTTTTGGAAGAGTACTTTCGGATTCAAAGAAAAGACCAAAATATTGTCTGCTTTGAAGATGGCTCAAAGAAAAGGCGAATGACGTCAGAAACAGTGAATTTCATTATTTTCGCGAAGCTCCATTTACAGTGTTGTGAAATTCTATAGATAAAATCAGATAACTTTATATGAGCAATATATTTCATCAAAAGATTTCACTATTGTCTTAAAATTTCTGACTATGGTTAAAAACTTTGGCGATACTTCTAATCACTTAATACTTCATATACATAAATTCCAGTAGTGATTTTGCCAATACATACAAGCAACAGTGATGGTCTGAAGCGTTGATTTAGCAATAAACCCACATTTAAAAAAAGTGAAAGTACAAGAAAAAATTTGGATCTACAGTATCACATATGGAAATGATATTTTACACCTACAGACCACTTCATTCCAAAATCGTAAATTTGTAGGTTGCTCTTACGCAAAAATATGACTGTTTTTATTTAAAAATTTATATAAAAAATTATTCCTACATCCTTCAAATCAAAACTGCTTTCAGATTCTTTGATACCTTTAATTTCACAACATGGAACTAAAGCATCAAAGACATCTGCTGCTTGTTAATTTCGAATTCTCATACAAAGTCATCATGCCAGAAGTGAGTCTTTGCCTCAGTATAAGTTTATGAAAAAACTATGAAAGAGTAAATCAGTTTAATTGGAACTTACTTCATTATCTGAGCAATCCTGATTTAACACAATAAAACATACAAAGGATATCTGCCTCAGAAAACGATGCCTTCATGTAGGGCTTTCTAAGCCAATCTGTACTGGCTTCTAAGTTTTCTAGAATGTAAAAATGCGAGAAAATCAATTGTACTTTCCCCGGAATTTGAAGCATGCCTGTTTGTACTCAAACGTGATAAACACTTACTTTATGACGGCACACTCAGAAGATTGCGATAATTCCTTAATTTTTTTGCCATTACAGATGTTACTTAAAAATACGAGATTTAGTCCACCAAATATAGGTAGTGATGTGTTGTTATCTACAACATTCTAGTTCTGGCTCCAGTGCAGATGCTTTTAATTTTCTTCAGAACCAGGAAAGTTTGATAATCAAGTAAGCCCTCTCCACTATTTTTCAGTTGCCAGCTATGTGTGATAACTACTTACACTACGACAGCACGCTCACAAGGAGTGTGATAAATCCTTACTAGTCGACCTTATATTTACGTTGCGTTGGAGAAAAGCACAAAATTCATGTACACTCAGCCCTTTCAATTGTCGAGAACTGAATTTGAGAAGAGTTTTTGTAGTGCCTTAGGCAACATAGCTCCAATCCCACTGTTGAGAAACAAATGTAATATCTGCCCAAAAATATGCGTATATTTTCGGCAACATGCTGCCTAAGACGGATTTAATAACTCAGCCACTGATAAGTAGGTCCACTGATCCTTAGATCTGCATATGTAAACTAAAACTCAGGATTCGTCAGCGTTTTCTAATCTAGGTTCATAGGGATTAACGATATTACAAAATATTATATAAAAGTATTCCAAAATGTTAATGCATATTTAAAAGTTGTTAACTGCTCGAGAAATAATTTTCTTACTCAGATATAATGCATTTTTGATTTAACAAGCCTGTCTTACCTCTTCATCATTGATATGCCATGAGAGTTGTGGCAATTCAGCTGACCTAGCAGATGAACAATTGGCATCCACAATATCTCCAACGTAGTAACGAGGCATGCCTCCTGTAATAACTGGGCCTTCTTGTCCTGGTGGCACATGGAGAACTGCATAGTAAAAAGAGATTTCTAACAGGAAGACCAACGTTTCGTACTTTTTAATGGGATAACTCGCAATAAGTGTAAAGAATTTGCGAAATAGAATTTCATATAATTTTCATATTCATAGAAATATTTTTCATCAGTATACGTTCTGGGTAAGATAATAAATATTATTACAAATACATTAAATGCCAAAATATTTATAAAAATCATTTCATTTAAAGATATCTAACGAATTAACAAAAATATTTTAAGAGCTTTCTTATTTAAGATAGTAAAGATAGAAGAACTATGCATAATGAAGTAGAGAATTTCTAATGAATAAATATTTTCACATTAGATATTTAACATTAAACCACAGATTAAAACCTTTAACGACCTCATGCCTTCTAATGAACACAATCTCTTTTAATAAACATTCAAAATATTTCATCATCTTCTATGGTAAATGTAATAGTTAAGAGTCAGAGCCACCTAGTCAACAAAGCTTAACGTTCGTTTTACGAGCCTGACAACATGAGGGGGGCACATTGTCTTTCAGTTGGATGAGCTCTTTACAGAGGTTCCAAAGACAGTTCTTCTTAATGCTATTTCGCAAGCGGAAACCTGGATACAGATACAGCACATTTAAGCATCCGAAAAAAAATAATTGTACTTTCGGATGCTTTGGTTGCATCTGGTAGCAGATGCTTCATCAAAGAATTTTCACATCTTTTTCACAAACAGTTTTATGTCCACAAATACGTCAATCATGCGGATCGACCACAGGTTTTGAAACGGCCATGTTGAACAATTCGCACACCCTGCAAGCAATCTCAGCCTGAACATGTGAAATTTTATTCCTTATGTTTGTGATATTTAATGGACGCATTAAATGCTTTCACTCACCAACACTCATGTTAAAAATTACTTCTGGACAACTGCATATTGAAACACAAGCTTTGTTTATTTTTCCATGTTTAAACACTGTTACTTAATTTCGGTAAGGAGTTCTATATAAATATTTCTTTAAAGTTCTTTCTTTATTTTACAAGTAAACAGAAAGCATTAGTCAACAAGCTCTATATGATTTATTTAAGTTTACCTTTAAATGCGTATATATGTTTTACTTAAATTTTAAACACTATTATTCAATGATACTTCTTCCTTCATAGTTTCAATTTACTCACTTCTTTGAAATTCGGCTCCAGTTGTTCCTTCTCCAACAATAAGCTCCAAGCTGCTCGTTGCGTGAACTTGGGATAGTGAAGCAGCACAACGCACACGCAAAGAACCTTGCCATAAACGTTTTGGTTCTAGAGAGAAAATAAGTCTAGATTTGCTCATCTTTAAGTCACCAGTCATGAGATGGTTATGATGCACATACGTTGTTGGCGCCTAGAAGTATCCAAAAAAAAAAAAAAAGAAGAAACATTTTAAGCACTCTTCGATGATGTATGTTTCAACTCAACAAAAAAAATTAATCTTCTGCCGCTTTATGCAATTTAGTTTTGCCACATTAATCACAACCAGAGAAAAAGACATTTTTCTGCTCTTACGCTGCCATTTGAAAAATACGATAAGTGACAAAAATTTAGCGTGGACATCTTAATTGTTCATCAAAATTAATTTGTCTTTTTTCAGGCAAAAACTAAGAAATAACAGCTCGTCATTATAAAAATATTTTGATTCAATCAAAGTTAACAGAGCTCAGTAAATAAAAAAATGAACATGTCTTTCCGTGAATGCTTATGAAAATACATTTCCTCATCCATAATGCATTTGATGACATTTTGCAATCCTTTTTCCCCTGTTGAATCATTCGTGTGATCTAAATTCCAGTGAGAATTACTATTATCTAACATTTAAATATTTTTTGGAGTTTGCGTAACGCCTTTTCTGCATAATTTAGTTAATTTGAACAATAAACTTAGATTAATTAACCATCGCGAAAAATGAGTAGAGAATTTTTAGCCTGAGAAATTCAGTATTAAATATTATTCTAATGCGTTTCTTTTCCCACACATTAAAGTATCGAATAAATTTTTACTCTAAAGCATAAAATAATTAATACAGAAATAAATTTATATCTGTGAGATGAGTTCAAGATATTTTCTGGCAGAAGATCATGTATTCTTTCGGCAATTTCTAATTATATGCAGTTATTTTTCTTAGCTGACAACAGAACAAAAATATTATATTACGCGTTTTGGAGTTATATGGTTTAGTAAGTGCAGGGGATGAATATGAGTAGTTATTTGCTTTTCTATTTCTTCACTTCTAGCATTCCCTTTCTTTGAGATCTATATTTACATTTACAGACCTAAACGCACAAATCACATAATTACATAACCTTCTTTTGTGCTCACTTGGCAGTCTAAAATGCATAAATGTATAAATTAAATAAAAATATAACCTTTATAATTAGTTGAATTTATACTCGTGGTGGGGGAGATTTAATTTAAGCAGAAACAATATATAAAAGCATGCTAACGAAACGCTTATCAAAACTAAAAATTATACAAATGAATCAGTATGAATCATGTTAAAGCATATGAATCAGTGTGAAACATATGAATCAGTATTAAAAGGGAAAAACTATAAATATTCTTTAATCTAAATTCAGTTAAGAAACAAGTTATTTTATTTTATTCAGTTGATAATAAAGTCATTCGAAGTCAAACGAAGGTCTAGTTTACTAAAGTTGTTTAATGAATGGAAAATAGGTTGGAATATGGAATTTATGTGAAGGATTTTAATCCGTTACATATCGCTATCGGAATTTACCACAGTAACGTGACAGCATCTAAAACAACATTTTAGTTTTCTTTTATGTGCAGTTCCTTTGGCCATTAGTAGTTAACAACACCCAATTACATACGGTAATATTTATTGACTGTTATGTTATTTCTGAAATGTCCACTTGAGTTGATCGTCTTATGTGTCAATTTACGGGCATTAGATTTACGTCAACCGTACCTAATATATTATCAGAAGATAAAACTATCGCACCTTAAGGCTTAAATATTCAGAGAGGTTGAGCTGCCTTCGAGATTCTTTTTGTCTGCTGGACCTCAGAGAAGTTCAATGAATATTGAATGTCTTAATTTCGTTCTCCGCAATCGAATTAATTTAACAGACTTATAATGCGTCTCAGTGTTTTCTGGTACATTAAAACCATATGTTGTTAATTGGTGTACAAACATTATTCCGGTAAAGCAGAGATACATTTCACATTAATATAGTTTAGCAATGATGGCTTAATATTAAATGGATCTCTCGAGGCTCTACCCAATAGCACTACAGTTTTACTTTAGAACGGTCGCTGCCTATAACGTCTTACTACCAAACAAGGGCTGAACGCCTTTTCTCTTAAAAATGAAAATCCTATTTGCATTTTTCTGGTTTACTGAATACCCTTACTAATGTAGAGAATTCAAAAAAGCGGAGTGAAAAGAAGCTTTAGAAAGGGTGGGTATATATAAACTGATTTGATTAACATAACAGTTTTTCTTCTAACATTAAACGAAAACGGTCACTTTCACTAACAGAGTTATATGTGCTGACGTCATCACTTACCTCTTCTCCATTAATGTACCAAGTGATCTTGGCTGGAGGTTTAGAAGGACCAAATGCACATGTTACATTTACTACATCGCCAATTCTATAGTTCTTCTGAACTCCAAATATCTTAGGTCCTTCCTCCGGTATAACTGAAAATACACATTTGTAAAATGTTGAATAAAACATCCAAAAGCAGATTTAAATGTTGCTCGAACTAAATGAATATTGATACGAATATGCCGTATTGAAATATACTTGCATTTTAAACATAAACATCAATAAAAATGCAGAAACTTCTTAAACTGAACATGTTTAAGCATTTTTAATTCGCATTGAACTACAGTAACATAATTAAATTTGAATGCATGGAAAATCTACAATTTGTAACAAGTTATGATATGCAAATGTATTGGTATATTATGACAATTTTGAGAAAATATATCAGTTACCTTCATCTGTTAACTAGTGTTATTTCCATTTAATATTTCTTTCTTATATAAAAATATCTCTCTTTCTCATACAGAAGCAAGGAATAATTTAGCTAAAAATGTTTCGTACAACCAAAATTGATGCTTTTGTTTTTCTCAATAATAATATTTATTCTTAAAGATAACTTAATAATCATAGGGTTTTTTTAATAATTTATTCTAGTATAAATTATGGTACAAAAATTTCTATGAGCTTCTAAGACATATTAATATTTAACATCAAGAAAATCATCACTAAATATTTTTCAATTCTTAATATGAACACCGGTATGTAAAATGAATAAAAAGGTGTAAGGCTGTAAGTGCATTTTAAACTCTTGAGTTCAGAAAAGTACCTTACACAAGAAAAATATATTTAAATTGCTAAATTTCGGAAAAATAATTTTAATATTTATGAAGAATAAAGACATATGTAGATTAAGTTGCTGATATATTTCTGTCCGTTTTCGTTCTTAGCGAAAATCTAACTGGAGCAAATGAGAAATTTCCCAGTAAAGCTTTAATTTAAAGAGAGGCTTAAACTAAAGTTCATTCAAGTCAAACTTATGTTCTTACACTAATCATTAATTTTTATGTTCTTTCGAAAGCTCTTTGTCTTTCAAGCTCAATGTAAAAGTCGAGTTTTTGTATTAAAAGCTCATTTGACAAAAGTAAAGAGAAAGAATCAAGTGAAAACTATTGGTTCACTTGACTTCCTAACTGATAGTATCTAGCTTAAAGTTCGCTTGGTTCAAGATACTGCTTTGCTGTAGATTAAAGAAGATATAACTGAGAATCCCTCTCAATAGATATTAGAAACACACGGTATCATTGCAATTAAACGCCCACAAATCCTTCATTTCGTCTTGGGTTATTTGATTACTGCAAAACACTCGAGGGCTATCCGTTATGTTTTGGGATGCCATAGTGAAGGACTTTCGAAGGGAAACTGGCTCGTATCCATATTACATGCAGAAAAAACAGTGTGAAAATGCTATGTTAACTTCTGTCCAATACCTTGCTACATTCCATCGCCAAAGAAACTGAAGAAGGGGCTCTACATCAAAGTGAAACAGATATGAACTTATAAGGTATTTCTCCCGTCGTTTTTGCATGACTTCGCGGTGTAGTGGTCAGCACGCTTGGCGCGTATTTGAGAGGTCTGTGTTTCGAGTCCCGGTGAGAGCATTACTCATTTTTCAGCTTTTCTGCTTTAAAAAAATACCTAATATCTCTATTTACTTTGATGAAGAGAAGCGAAAAACGATCTCTCTCTATAAATAGACGTTATGCGTTTTGTGGGTTTTATATAGCATGCTTCTTTCCCAGTTGGTAATTAGTTAAACTTACGGAACACAACAACTTGTTCCTGTTATGTACGAAGCTCTAGGAAACCGCTACGATCTTTTAAAAGAGGAGCAAACTACGAAGACATCAGCTGAACAAGGATCTCCTTCTATAAAGCGACATTTTGTGAGACTGATATATAATTCTTTAACAGCTGGTAATTCGTGTAAAATTACGGTATAAAACAAGCTTCTACTGTTATATATGAACATCATGGTCAAATTATAATACTAGCAACTAAGCATGTATGTGATAAATTAGACGAGACATGAGGCAGCATTTTCATTTAGCTATCTGAAAGAAAGCTCAAGGCTTGCTATGGGCTTGAGGGATTCCACGAATTACTATAGCTTGAGACTTTTGTCTTTACGTTACCCTAATTTTCCTGTCATTGAAATACACTCTCGAAGAAGCCAGCCTAAATTACAAGATCGTGAAAAATGATATTTCTGAACATTGACAAAATATCATTAATAAGGGTAGACCTTGGAATCTTTTTTAAATAAAAGTTAATAAGTTGACTCCTGATAAATAAAGTGCACAAAAATAAATTAAAAGTTAATGAGTTTCCTTCATAAGGATCTTTCCAGTTGCGCAATATTGATACTTATTTATAATAATTTTATAAAATTTTTAAATCAAGACTTAAACGAGCATAATTACTTCTCTTGTACTGATCGAGAGTAACATTAATTTTTTTTATTTTCTATTTTATCACAATTGTAATCTTAACCATTTTCCAAAAGCCAACGATGTCAAATAAGAGCAAAGAAGAATCTCTGTGAAACTAATGTATTACTTCTGTGATTTTTCCGTTACTTTTAATACAAAGATATACTACTGTGTAATTAAAAAATTCATTTCAATCTTAGAATAATTAATTCACTTTTTCCCGAATTTAATTATATATGATACGGCACGACCTTAAAATTTGCTAATAAAAATTAAAGTGCCTTTTTTTTTTCTTTCACAAACTACTCATTTTAAGCACATAATAATATTCAAATAATAAAAAAAATTTTCGTATTTTCTGATTTCTTAACCAGTATTTTTCTCTGAATTTTATTCCGCAGTTCCTATTAAAAGAAATCTCATTTACTGCAATACACCTCACTGAAAGAGGTATTAAAACGATGAACAAATTGTAAGGATTATATTTATTTAGCTAACAGTTAAATTTTAAGTTAAACTTCCTGTCCTATCGCTTCTTAATTTCAACTTACCACTTTCGGCCAGAACGTAGTTTTAGAATCACGTTTGAATGCAAATTGAGGAACAGTGGTATTTAACCGCGAAGTTCTATTGTCTTGGTCAGAGATAACCAAAGATTCTGGCTACCACGTGTCCGCCTTTTCAGGCTACTCTCTTTTAAGCTATTATTACGCTCGGCCCTACTTTAGGCCCTTAATTGCTTCGCAGTCAATTAGGGTTAAGGGGCTAACTCAGTTAGAATCTTGATAGCGTCGGTTATATCTTTTTAGTTAAGATTAGTTACGTTTTAATTCTTAGTTCCTAAGTTCAAGCCCGAGTGTCGGCTTTTTTGTAAAACTCCAAGACGGAATTCTGTTAAATCTTATTTGAATAATAAAGAATCTTTTAACCCTTTCCAAGTTTTAATTACTGTCTCACGAACTCAAGCGATTATTCGCTTACTAGTTCTTAAGATTCTTCCCATTCAACTGTAACTTAAAGTACACAGTAGAGAAGTTATTGAACGTTATAAATTTTCAGCTGAAGTTCATGTATTTAATGCACAGAGAAAATTAATCAAAATACGTTTCGCTATTGTTCAAGATTTATTCATTTCAACATATGGTTAAAACCTGCCAAATCGAACAAATGGAATGATTTCTGCTTATCTTCGAGAATTATCTTCGTTGTTGAGGAATATATTCTTGTTCCATTTTAGAAGGGAAACTGATATCATACTCTATATGCTGCAAGCCAGAAATATAAAGAGAATATACATGTAGCGTCCTCCTACTTCGCCCAAGGGATAAATAAAAAGAATTGGGTCTCTTATCCTGTCTACATTGATGTCTGGGAATGATGAATTCCCATATGAAAGAGCAAAGCCCGTATCAACTAGGATGGGAAAGGACAAACTCTCTAGGGATCAGTTTAACCCCGCATTACTCGCGCGAGAAAAACGAACGGGATTGCTCGCGCTGGGTATGACATAACCAGGGCTGTTTCTTCCTCTATTTTACCATTAAATCAGCACAAAATATAAGAAAACAAAAACGTGGAAGAGAAAACAAATTTTTAAACGCATATTAAAAATTTTACCTTTAATTTGCACATTTTCGGCAAATGCATATTATATATTCCATGTATACAAGTTTTTCACATTTTTCACAGACAAACTAACCTTTCATGTCTTTTTTTTGGCCGCATTCAGCACATTTTTTATATGTCGTCTTTACCTTCTTAGCAGGAGATGCATCGGCCTCATTGTTGCCCAGTTTTACTTTTAGGCTTTGTAGGCACATTGTTTGTTGACTTCTTATCTTCTTATAATCTTCTATCAGTTGAAATGGCAGTGTTTTTAGAAATGAGCGTCGGGCTCGATGCCGAGTAGGTGGTTTCTTTGTTGAAAACAAAATTATGCGTGCATTTATTGCAGCAATATTCATCATGGACTATTAAATAGCCGTAGGCCAACAAATTGTTTTTTTAGCCGTTGAATATATTGCAGCTATTTCATCCATGACATCCACAAATTATATTTTTTAGCAGAAATTCTAACATTTCCACGGAATTTCATTTTACTTCAGTTTGTTATATTATTCTGTCCTATAAAATAGTCACTTTTCGTTTGAATCAGATAATCGCCCTCTAATTCAGATTCTATTTCTGGCGAAGATTTCTGTTCACTGTAAATTGCTTCATCATCCGCTTCTTCATCATCGGAAAACTCATTACCTTCCTCAAGACTTTCTTCACCCTCAGAAACAGTATCAAGTAAATTTCTTAAATTTCGCATTTCTTCATTATAACTTCGAAAACGCGCCATAATGAGAGTACGATTTCAATGCGTCTACCAGTACTCAGAATTATAACAGTAATGCTCGCGCTGGGTGTGACATACCCTGGAGTGGCGACTACAAGATATCTATTTTTAGAACTCTTTCCCTTATTCTTCCCTTTCAATGTTATGGCCTTGGGGGGCAGCTACAAGAAAAATCATCCATTTTTAAAAACAAAGGTTGGAGAGAAACAGTGAAAAAACCATGGAGGTAGGAAGTACTCCTTTCTTACCTCTATGGAAAAAACGGAGGGGGTGAGTATGACACACCCAGCGCGATCAAACCCGGGTTAACCAAGGATACCGCTTAAGTGTTTGGTTCGGTTTACGCAACGAAATCCTTTAGCAACTGATTTGACTGTATTAACATTTCACCAAACTATAATATAGCATAGTGTTGATAGTTCTTTGAGATGCTGAGCGATTCAGACAAAGCAAGACTGCATGTGGATCGAGGAGCCGCCAAAAGGTACTTAAACTGGAATGCATGTTTCGATTTATTCTCATATATTCCATCATTGAGTACCCAATTATTCTTTCTTCCGTTTGTTTTGCTTCTTTCTTGACAGACAGGTCTTCAGAAACGAAGCTGGTGTAAATGAGTAGCTGGCAAATTTTGTTGCCGCTAAGATAGGTTAATTCTACAGCGATGTGACACAGAATTCCCCCTGGACATTGACAGTAGTTAATGATACGGATAATACTTACTCTTCTCACTCATCAAATTGTTTTCGTAGAAAATGCATGAGCATGAAATACTCCTAAGACTGCCAGAAGTTTCCCGATAACCCAATATTTCTTCACTACATATACAAAACAAATTTTACATTTGTTAAAATATGAAAAAAATGATTTTGTTTGTACACATTTATTGAGACATTTTTTTTAATTCTTCAGAATAAATAAAAAAAGAAATACTGAGAGAAAAGGTTTAGAAAGATTTATCACAAAATTTTCAGATGCTTCCTAGAATAAAGGTCGTGTATGTTTTACTTTCTTTTTTAAAATATGACACTCTACTAGAAAACATACACTGATGAATATCGTCACATATATTTTAGCTTATTTTAATTTACGAATACTCCTAAATATTCGTAAATTAAAATAAGCTCATTTGCTTTTTTTTAATTTTTGACGGAAAAAGAAGAAACTTTTTTAAAAATTTATTAAAACCGAATTAACATAAATTAATTGATACTATGTTATATAAAAATGTTAAACGTCAATAATTTTTATTTAAAGTGACATCTAAAGTTTTACTAGTTGTCAAATATATTGCTGTTTGTTTATATGAAGGGGACCAAAAATAGAAAACTGGTGGAGTTTGTAACATGAACTCATAACTACGCCTTCAACCTGTGTATTACGTTCGTATACCTGCATTTGAGTGGCTTAATCGACTACACAGTAGCAGTCTCAGATAGGTTTACACATTTTGACAATCTTGCTTAGCCCTGAGTACATTTGACTTGCATGTATTTTTCCACGTGTATAATTTAAATACAAATAATTTTGAATCAAGGTAATAAAACTCAGGTTATTTGCTTTATCCTATAACTCTGCTTCATCATTTGCAAATGCAAGTTAAATAAATATTCACTTCTATAAAGACAGCCTTCCTCTAATGCAGGTAGAACATATGATGTATGAAGAAGGATAGTTTCATATTGCATGTATTGATTTAAATGTTTAAGTAGTACTCACTTTCCTAGAAATTTACAAATAATTTTAATGGCTCAGTGAATATCTAGTAGATTTTTAAGAATACGTAATTTTAAATATTATATAAATATTTCTCTGCCATTGCCGTTTAATATCCTGATAAAAGTAAAAATGAAATGTAAAAATGGCTTTAATTACTTAAGTTAAACTTCATCCAGCATTATAAACTTGATGAATGAATATATAAATTAGTACTGTAGGAAAGGCTTACCTTCGTCAATTGGGATTAACATAGATATTAGATCCACAGAAAAAATTCCAATTTATGAAAAATCCCTGATAATTGTTTTCAAATAAGTAAAAATGCTTTAACATTTCTGAATGTACGCGTGCGTAAGCTTCTTCGTTGTTAAAACTGCTTTTAACTACAGAAATATATAAATTTGAAGTTTTAACAATTGGTGCTTTACAATTAAATCATATTTACTTGCTTATAAAACTATTATTTTTTCTATCGCATACTAACAGTCGTCAAGCATTAAAGCTACAAACATACCACGTGCGTTTAAACTTCAAAATAGCTATGGAATGCATTATTGTAATTATTTGTGAGCAAAATTTATTTTAGTGTGGAGGAAGGGCGGAAACAGACATAGTATTTGTTGCGAATGACACATGGGGTCAAATTCGGAAACTTGACATACCTTGAACAACAGCTCAACAAAATACCATTTCTCTTATTTTGACTGATACATTGGTAAAGGTTCATTATTTCATATGACATAACTTAGGGGTACAGTGCATGTTCGACCGTAAGACAAAAACTTTGCATACAAATCAAGTCTCCTTTCTCTTTTTAAACACTACGTACAAAGTGCAATTTAACATTTCATTGAAATATCTCATTAACAAATTAAATTACACTGAGTCAATGCGTCTACGTACAATGTGCAATTTAACATTTCAAAGAAATGTCTCATTAAACATTGAGCAGTCACTGAAATTTTAAAAGCTCATTAAAAAATTAATTGCTTTTGTGAAAAAGTAAGTCGTCTATTAAACGAAAAAGTAATATTTCCAACTTTAAAAATAATTTCTGTGTAAGACTCCCTTTAAATTTCAGTTTCGTACAGTAATTTAAATAAAGTTAAATTAACAAAATTGTCTTCTAATATTTCAGAGCCTCAAAATCAAGGGGAAAGTCATATCAACATCTTTCTCAAGTTACAAATCTCTTTAATGCTCGTTTACTTTCAGAAATGCAAACTGAATATGAAAATAATCTCCATAATCATACTAACCATGAACTCTGAGCTCCTTCCCTGCTTTAATCGTCCTGAATGATGGCACTTCTGTCGACACTTCGCATCCGTAAGTGCCTTCTGTTTCAAGATCACTAGTGTACAGGTATGCGTGAGTCGCATTGGAGAGATGGAGCTGAAGTTAAAAGAAAGATGATTATGTATCTTACCTTGGATGTTCCAACACAATATCGGAGAATTATTTCGAATCGAATTTACAGTCGAAACTCATTATGACGACTGCTCTTTGTAGCGAATACCTCATTTAAAAAACTTGAGTGTTATATCTACGACTGATATAACATTAGATTTATTTTCTTTGCACCGAATGTTGTTTATAACGTCAGAATTCTAGCGGTCGTTATAAAGAGCGTCAACTGTAACTAAAGGCAAAGCATCATCTGTTGGGAAAGTTTCTTAAATTAACCCAATATGATAATAATCATTGTCAAATAACAGTTAATATACAAAGCTAACTAGACTCTTAATTTAACGGAAGGAAATTAATAAATATTTATTTATTTAACGCAAATTCTCAGCATTATTAACATTATTAAATTCTAACATTTTAATATGCTCTGAGGAAAAAACTGTCTATTAGAATGGATTCACTTTCTTGGTAAATACAGTTGATGAAATGGAGTTTTGCTTGGCTATGAAAGAGAGTAGTTCCAACATATTCCTCTGTATAAAAAAGTGGAGATTTATTAACAATGAAGAGCTGTGATGTTCGGTTTGCTGTCTTCTCTTTCGTTTACAGCTTGAAACCATATATTCTGCAACAGATCAGAATTTTTTAACACCGAAATGCTGTGGGTATGAAACATAACGCTTGCTTTCAGATTGCCCAAATTTGCGATGTATTCGTTGATGTCGAACACATCTCAAACTTAGTTTTGAAACGGATATGCACGATAATTGCAGCTCGATAGCTGCGCGATAATAGCAGTTATCGGACTGATTTTAGACAGCTAGAATTTCGAACTTCGTAATCATTAAAAATGAATAAAAAGAAAGAGGTTTTTTTTAATTTTTTTTATTCTGAGTCAGAGATTTCTCCAGACAAAAACTTTTCTCCAATTCGTTTTTTTCCAAAATGTCCGATCTCTAAAAAACATTCCAAGTTTCGCTTCCAATCACAACGTTCAAGATTTCATCACAACACGGATCCTCCTACCCGGACTTCTCTCTAACAGAAAAGTCTCCATGAAGGGTGATGCTTAGGTTGATATACGTATTACGTTTGATGAGGTAAAATATTTATGCGCAAACGTAATTCTTCTGGTGTATCGGCGCGCAGATCAATGAACAAATAACAATAGGGTTTCTTAGTTGCGTCTTCATAAGTTTCTTGAAAAATTTTCAAGTTTCTAGGAAACAGTTGCTTTCCCAAGTGAGATACCTGACTCATATCTCTGCAATTTTTACAAAGCACTAAATAGCGTGCATTTAAAGTCACATCTCGCAAGAAGCAATTTTTGCAGCGGACATGAAAATTTCGTTACTTAAATTCTGTCAAATTAACATCATGTAAATCAGCGTTTCTTGAATTCTGGGTCGAGATCCCAAAATGTATAGAAAAGCGAAATGTTGGGGTCAGAAATATGTAATTCAGATAAAGGAATTTAACGATACATTAGTCGCAATCTGTTCGTTATCATTAATATATTAAATTTCCTGTACAGTGCATTTACAAAATCGTAGTATTGGCCGAGCTGAGCTGTAGGCTAAATTTACAAATTGAAAAATACCACTAAGCCCATCAGAACGGTGGTGTCGCAATGCAGTTTCAGCATATATCAGAATCACAATATGTCGTAAATATAAAGTACCTAACGAGTTGCGCCACACAGGTGTGCCGAGGGGTCAGAGTCATTGTGACTAATGTAGTAGTAATGATTTTCCAGTACAGTCTCTTATTCCTGTTTCATCGCAACAAATGTATGTTTCGCAAGAACAAAGCAATACTACTTTACGTGACTAAGGACTACTACAAGAATCATCAGAAGATATAAACTTTAAAGCAGCAAAATAAATCACTTGAAAATATTATTTTCACATATCATGTCGCATCAGAAGCGGTGACGTCAGAAGGTTTCCTGTTATATACGGTTGCAAAGCAGCGCTGGGTATGCGTGTGGATGGCAAAGTTTTCAATGACAGAGAATGAGCAAGAGGCCTCCAAGTATGCACCTCTTTGGAACACTGAGTGACGTGCAATTCCCACTGTTGTAAGTAGTTGTTACGAGGAACGTAGAGTCAGAGGAAGAAACCCTGTGTAACCTAGAGTCCTCCTGCCTGTACAGTCAAAAAGCTTCAGGTCATATTACGTTGGATGGAGACGTTTCGTCAACAGAGACAGAAATGTAGAGCACTACAAAAACGAATAATAACTGCACAGGGCGATACTAATAAGCTTCATTATCTTACTATATTCCGAACAGAACGGGTAAAATACAAAACAGAAATTATCCCAGCAAAAACCATCAGCCGATAATCATTTCTGTACAAACAGTTTAAATTCCCATAGCATCCTACATAAAATAGTATCAAATTTTTCTATGCCACGTGGCATTCGAGCCACGCTGCTGCTTCAAATTATGTGAGCTATGGACAAAACACAGCAAACATCATTTTAAATACAGTTTTCCTGGAAGATGGTCCACGTGAAGATACCGCTGCCCAGAGCCTTAAACGAGAGAATACTACCATTCCATCAATGTAAAATGATATACCCTTCACGGACAAGAAGTTTAAACAGGTTTTTAGAATGCTTCCAAACAAAAAAGCCCCAGATCCACATGGATGACAATTATCAATTATTCCCCAAAGCATTCAAGACAGGACAACTAGTTCCGTTTCTTGAAACATAAGGATTCTCAAGATGTAAGCCCTCTCTCCCCCTACTTCTCTTCGTTCGGCACTCAGAAAAATCAATGAAAAGCTTCTTACTAACCGATTGAAATATTATCTGTGTAGTAATAATATTCTCAGACAAAACAATTTGGATTTCGTGCAGGATTATCAACTATATACCCTATAGAGAAAGTACGCAAGCAAATTCAAATTAACGGAAGCTGTAAAATGTGCACATCATTCCTTTTCATAGAGTTACTGAGTACATTTGATATTCTCTGGTGGTCTGCTATTAAACTAGCCCTCAGAAAGTCTCGGTGTTCAATTAATTTATACAATATTTTTGGCAATTATCTAATCGATTGTTGACTGATTATCGCTCATAACATCGGCGCAGCTGTTCAAGTCCAAAGAAAAAGCTTCCCCCCAGGTCTCCTGTGTGAGCCCTCTCCTCTGAAATTTTAGGACTAGGTGCTGGAAGATAACCGACCCATTTCTCCCCCATTTTAGTCTATGCCAACCATGCGGCTCTATGAATTATAAAAACACGATACTACTGTCTGAACCCTATCTGAGAAACTCTGCCACAGTTTGTAGCTTAAAATATCCACAGAGAAGTCCCCTGTTCTGGTTATTTCTAAACCACGCTCAAATCGTTCAAGACACCACTGTATCAAACTTCAAGGGAGAAATATAAAAGTAGTCTATACCTTTAAATATCTCGAACTGACGTGGGATGAGGGACTAACCTGGGTCCCACATATTCAAGAATTACGTACGAAAACAATCATAATTGCCAGAACTGCATGGAGTTTTCAAGGAAATAACTGTGAAGAAAATTCACATCTGCAAAATTAATTACACTCAACAATAGGATTTAGGATTTAGGAACGGGGAAGACGGGCACCACGCCCTTACCATTTGGTTAATTGGTTTAGCGCCGTCTCCCCACTACGTGATCCCAGTCGTTTATTGATATTAGCAAACAGATACATAATTTGAAATGAATACAAAATTTGCAATGATACATAATTGAAATGAATACATAATTTGCAATGATACACAGTTTGGAAGGTAAAAAAAAAAAAAATAAAAAAATAAAAAAAAAAAAAATAAATAAAATAAAAAATAAATAAATAAATAAATAAATAAAAAATGCATAGCATATGAACAGTAGGAGAGTACGGAACAAACAAACAAGTCATCTGTAAAATACTAGGCTCAAATATGCAATAGTTAAATAAAACATATACAAAGACAGAAAGTTGCATACAAATAAAGAAGAATTTGCGGAAAAAGCTATACTTGCTGACTGAAACTATCCATATTGTCAACAATAACTATAGTACCGACAGAACTATATTACTGACTGAATGCGATATTTGCAGATCGACTAGAATTATTTACTGATAATGCTATACTTGCTGACTTAAGAATGAAAAATAGCTAACATGAGACAAGAAACAATGATATTGAAATTGTGTACTAAATAAAAAGTAGACAGATTCTTACAACATGAGACAGATTTCAATGTAATTAGATTAACATGATGCCATCAAATAAACATTTACAATTTCTGTTATAGTACAAAGACTCACTATACATTACAATACAACATACCAACATAATTTACTAATAATACTATACTGAATGAAGATACTTGTAAGCATGATACAATGATTAAAATAATGATTGTCTTATAGACAATCAACTTAATAAGAAAAGCATACTATCGATAGAAGAGTACAGTACAATCAAACCAACGTGAGAACTATGTAAAGGCATAGCTTAAACATATATATATATATATATATATATAAATAATAAAATAAAAATAAAAATTTCTAACAAACCTGAAAAGGTGATAGATGGAGTTCGATACACACAAACTAACGTGATGCAGTCAAACTTATATTTCATTTGTTATTAACAGTCTAGCTACAAAAAGCAGATAGTACATGGTTAATATATTTCCTGTAAATCATTTAGATTAAACTTGACATAGGTCAAGCCCAATGCTGGAAACTTTCTCCATTACGCAATTTAGTTTGCGGATCAGGTGTCTTTGCTTAACTAAGAGTTTGCAAAATGCCTGACGATTTTGCGTAGGAAATCGTATGTGTAGGCCTTCTGTCAGGGGACAATTGGCTAAATAGTGCTCCGGAGAGCCGAGTTCACCACAACTGCAGACATTGGTATCACTTATGCCAAAGCGTGCGAAGAATTCAGGAAAAGGTCCATGCCCCGAAATGTAACGGGAAAGATGGGCATTGCCACAGC